AGAGGTGGGCAAACACCAAAGCCTGTGCCATTCTCCAGAGTGTCTTTCAGGTGATCACAGAATCACAGAACCATCTAGGTTGGAGGACACCTCTAAGATCATCAAGTCCAACCATTAACCTGTCACTGCTGGAACTCCTAAACCCTAAACCAAATCCTCCACTGTCAGATCCAGAGGCCTCTTGAACACTTCCAGGGCTGGTGACTCCACCACCTCCCTGGGCAGTGGTGACATGATGCTGTGACATGATGGTGAATCCTTTACTGAGGGTAAAGAAAATAAACCAGTTTTTTCCTTCCTTATTTTTTCTTTAAAGGTTCCAGACAAATATTTCACCATTTTACTGGATTATCTGCAAGGGCTTCAGGGAGGTGCACGAGACAAAACTGTGCAGAAAGCTGAAGATTTTATGAAGGAATTTGATGGTTCTGATACAGAAGACCCAAAGCTGCTGGAGAAGTGTGAGCGCATACGACAAGTTCTGCAGCTGCTGTCCTGAGAGTATTTCTGTGTCTTAATGGTTCTCTGGTGGAGAGAGGGAGAGGATGTCATATACAGAGGCTGTAAATGAGTTGTAAAGACTTATTTTCTAATACTAAATTTTCTACTCATCATGTTTTTCCAATTGCAAATATTTATCATGTTTGGAGGTGATGAAATAAAAATATCACATTTGGTCCGTAGACTTGCATGGATTTTATTGCACATCTCTAGAAAAACAAACCTTTCTCTCTCGTTAGTTTTTCTCCCCCTGTAATTACAGTTCAATAAAAAGAGATTTGGAGTTCTTAATAAGAAGAGCAAAGGAACCAACAAAAAGCCTGGAGGGTCTCTCACAATGGCAGCTTTTAAAATGAGTGTCCAGCACAGTCTGTGCTCAGCCAGCTGTAATCTATCACTTTCAGCTTCAGAAGGATGTCATTTGGATTTGGGAGAGATCATTTTCAGTCTGTTGAACACTGGTTGTATAACACAGTTATACAGTTGCTTATTAGTACTTCACACGGTGATCTGGAGATACCATCAGCTTTGTTAGCTTTCCTTTTAGATTTGAACATTTTCAAATGCATTAGGGCAGTTGTTTAGATACTCAGATAATGCACAGATGGGAACAGATCAAATCCTTGACTCTCTGTGTTGAAATTTTTGGATTGTACCTAAACTTGCCCTACAATGAGTGTAGGCTGTGTCCAGCCTGCCAATACTACATTGTCATCTTCCTCTTGTACTTGGCATCCAAAAAGAGTTAATTCATTTTCCTTCATTTTGGCACAGGACATTCATCTCCTCTGAACGTGCTGAAAATGAGGCTTTCAAGTGAAAACCAAGGACATTAATTACTGCAAACTTGGCTTATTTAATAACACTGGTATTCAGACAGAGTTCTTGACCTGATTCTTTAATGTTTCTGCAAACATTGTTCATACTTTATTAATAACAACTATATGAGATGTGTAGTGTTTTAGAAGAGTGGCTGTCTTTGGGAATTCCAGCTTTAATTTGGATGAGTGAAGGAGTGGAGGATCCATGGATCTGCAGATCTGATTTTTCAATAAGAAGCATTTGAGTGGATTTGACAGCCTTCACAGCCATGGATTAGTACAAATCTGGAAAAGTATGAAATATATTACTAATAACAAATAACTTATGCTTTCTGACTCCTTGAAGATGATGTTTTCACCAGGAAAGACTAGAGACCAGCACGCCCTGCTCCAACACAGGCACTGGGATGGAGCTTGGCACAATGGTGGGCAGAACTGAGCAGCAGTGGCCAAGTTCTCCTTGGAGCTGGTTCCTCAGCAGTTGGGGTGCTGTGGGTCCCTGAGGGCTGCAGAGGGGGCAGAATCAAAGCCTTTCCAAAGCTCAAAGCTGAATCACACTGATCTTCCAGTGGGAGAGCTGGTGAAAGGGGCCCATAATCAAAAGAAGTGATCCTGATATTGAGTGAACCCATAAAAGATCATTGGATCTTATATTTTACATCTGGAATATGCAGCTGGGAAAACCTGTTGTCACTCCCAAGCAGAAGCTGATACTTCTTTCTGTTAGGAAAAATAGGAATTCCTCAGGGATGAAGTTTTCAAAGTGTCTTTTTGTGAGTTTACCATTGCGTTTTGTGTGTCATAGAAGAATTTTTGTCTCTCTCAAGTTGTTTGAAAAATCACCACTGTTTGATTTCTCTGTCACACAGAAATGGGGATCCTCATTGTGCCCTTTTAACATACCTTGTAGCCTAAAAACACAAGCACATTGCAACTGCATTTTGGAAGAGACTTGTAAAGAAATGCTGATAAAGGTAAGATCTGGGCAAAAAAGATGTGAAGCTTTAATGATTTTGGCAGATTTGGCAAGATTCTGACCATGTGCAAATGCTGACAAACCTGTGAGAAAAGAGACTTAGAGACCAAGAGTGTCATATTCCATTTTGTATCAATTGACATTAAAAGCACACAAGGCCTGACAATCTGGAGTCCATGTGAACAGCAGCACTTGGAAAAGAACAGTTAGAGCCTCTCATTAGCAGAGTGGTAGACCCCTGGGAGTGATGTCCTGCTCTGCTCTCCTCTTCCTCAGCTGCAGCTCCAGCTTTCCCTTCAGTCCCACAGATTGCTGGGTGAAGGACATGGGCTTTGGCCTCTGCTTCTTGCAGTGATGGAAGATTCAGAAGCTACAAAGAAGACAATTGTTGCTGTGGTTGAGTTTGGCCAAGAAAGCAAATCATGATGCTTTCTACCATGTCTCTTGATGTAGGTGCTGTTCACTGCTCAGGAGGGTCTTGAAATGGGTTAAAAGGCTTGTAAAACTTCTGGTTGGTGTTGTTGGATGTGTCTTGCATTTCAAAGCTCAATATGAGATATTGTAAGAGTTTTTTTATACCTGATGTTATAGTGCAAATAGGAAAGGACACTTGGATTACGTTTCACTTCTTTACTTTGCCCCTTTTCTTAAAGAATCTTCAACTGCTTGGCAAATCACCTTCAGAACAGCCATGAAATGTGAAACCACACACATTTTTGGGAGGCATGTATTGCTAGGCCTGTTTTAAGGACAAGAATCTGAGGACCCTGACAGCTTACAACACAGTGTGCAAATGTTAGAGTATCTCTGGCAAGCAAATTTTGCCTTTTCCATGTGCCAACCTCCAGGCCAGCTTCTGCTTCCTGCTCAGCTTGGTCTTTTCATCCCAGGATTTACATTGTGTGATGAATAGTTTAGCAAGATTTCCTCCATCATGTATTTTAAATTCCTTATTTTAAATTAGTAAGTATATAATCAGTGTCTGAATTCCTGTAGGTGGTTGAAGCTGTACAGGAAGATACAATCTGGCACTTTATTCACTTTGTGCTGTCATTTGGAGAAGAGAAGGTTATGTGGAGACCTCAGAGCACCTTCCAGGAGCTGAAGGGATTCCAGAGAAGCTGCAGAGGGACTCTGTGTTAGGAGCTGCAGGGACAGGACAAGGGGTAATGGGGAGAAATTGAAAGAGGGGAAATTTAAGTTTGATATTAGGCAGAAGTTTTCCCTGTGAGGGTGGTGAGACACTGTCCCAGGTTGCCCAGGGAGGCTGTGGCTGCCCCAACCCTGGCAGTGTTCACAGCCAGGTTGGCTAAAGCCTTGAGCAACCTGCTCTGGTGGGAGGTGTCCCTGCCCAGGGCAGGGGGTTGGGGCTGGATAATCTCTAAACTCCATCCCAACCCCTAAAATTCTATGATTCATTTGCTCGTGTAGGATTTTCAAGTCACGACATCCTTTGTAGCTTAGGCAATTGTGTGGGTACAGATAGGACAAAATCCTGTCTCTGCCTCTGTTTGAATCAGTCTCTGTGCTGTGTTAATAAAAATTGCATCCAAGGCTGAAAGTAACAGTGTGTACAGAATGACAAATTACATCTTCATGTCCCTGTGCTAATCGTCTTCTAGTCGAGTTCCTCTGCTCTGTGTGGCTCTGGTGAGCAGAATGCATGTCTTGAGAGAATGCTGAAGTCAGGACTTCTAGGCAAAATAAAGGAACGTTAATTACTTAGAATTGCTTAAAGCTGGAGCTGTGCCTCTAATGGAAGTACTAATTACTCAAAATTTGACAGGGTAAAAAGTTCCCTTTAATTTGGCTGATCCTGGCTATGGGTTGTGTTATCTATTTGGTTCTCTGTTGTCTGCCCACAGTTTTTGTTTGTTATCACCACTGTAAAATTACTCAGTAAATGAACTCTCTGTTCCTATTTGGAGAGGATGTCTCCTAGTTGTTGAATGTGCACTTTATTTTCTCATTTCCTCTCACTGGAGAATTGCTCTGCTGTGTTTCTGTTGATTTTAAAGCAAGGTGACTATTGACTCTCCTCCCATCACCTCAAATAGCTTAGAAATATGAAAATAGCTTGGAAACATCTTTGGGTTGAGCTTGGGGGTTTGGGTTGTGGTTTTTCTAAACTTTGCCACTGAGTAAAACAAAGTAATGAACTTTCACATTTCTGCAAATCAGTGTCATTAACAACAATCATAAAAGAGATTTAAATTGCAAAGTCAAGAAAATAAAAAAATTAGAAAACATAAGAATGGAAATAGTCTGTGTAATTGAAATTTTCCTCCTTCATACATATGTACTATGGTGCAACATCTTCATTATGTCATCAGGGCTGTGTTGTCCTCTGTGTGTAACTGATAACTCACTTATTCAGTGTTTTCTTGCAGTTCTGCTGTTCTCATTGTCAAGATTTAGGCCTACAGAGCAATAACTGAAGGCAGAGAAGTCTCTTTGTTGTGGTGCTTTGATTCTGTCCAGAAGAAATAAGTAAGAACTTTCCTATCCCTTTGGTGTAGGAACTAGTCATAGATATTTCATCATAAATGTTCCCTTTAAAACATGTTTTAATGTTCTGATTCATTTACAGTCAAAATACTGAATTGATGTTACTTAATTTAAATCCAGTTTTGTTGTTGACATAAAACTTTCCAGTGGCTTATTCTGGTTTAGCCTTTGGTTTCCTTTTATGTCTTCCTTTCTGTACAGCTGAATGAGCTTGTTATTTCTGTCCCTGCAAATAGGAATATTAGTTGTTTACAGTGATTCCAGTCATACAAGGACACAATTAAATGTCCTTGCCTTTGCAGGACGAGCTCATTTTAGCAGTGACTTATAATTATGCTCTATTTTAAATTCTTCACAGGAACATATATAGTCAACAACTTAATGAGGTTAAAACTAATTATTTCTTTTAAATATGGTGGGGGGTTTTTCCCCTACAAGGAGCAGGGAGTACAGAAGTAAATAAAACTAATGAGTAAATGCTGGGGGAAGAGCAAAGCAAAACTGGGGTTTATCTTTCTTTGTCAAAACAAAGCTGAATAAGAAGCTTGTGCTACTAAGAAACTTTAGCTGGTGGTACAGACACAGAGGGAGGGCCCTTGGGTACAAACAGAAGAGCACTCATACAGTTACTCTTAGTGAATTTTTTTCCCCTAGATGCAGAAAATGTTTGGCATTCCTCAACAAAACCCACAA